AATTTAACACTCCCAAAATTAATGTGGAATGAAAGAATTATTTAGGAAGATTTTAATCTAGAGAAATCAGCTGAGCAAAGTAATTTGGTATTAAGGTATTATCACAACCAACTTTAGTATTCTGATAGGAGAGTAATTATTTCAGTTGTAATAAATATGAATTTCTAAGAGAACCTGGCTCATTGGTAATAGAGTATTATCAGTTTTGCAAATATTTCCCTTGCATATATGTATATGTGATATATATATATATATATATATATATTTATATATTCTGTTCATGTTGTATATTGTGTTTCATATAGAAGTATCTAGAAACCAAATGTAAGTCATTTCTATGTGGTCCAGCTCTTTCTATGGTATTATCTTTTCTTTTTTTCCTTCTATAGTATTATTCTTCAATTAAGGTGCCTGTCATTTACTGACTCCTGATAGCATCTAAACCAATACTTAAGTAAAATTAATTTCCTAAGAAAAGGTTTATAATTATATAACAAAAGGTAAGAACAGAGCTGGTTTACTAATTTTTAGAATTCAAGTTTATCTCAGTTCACAAAATGAATTATATGGATAACATCCAGACTGCAACCCTCAAAACAATAAATAATAGCTGTAATGTCACAATGAAATATTAGACCTTTCACAGGCACAGAATCATATTACATTAATTTCAGTGAAACTTCCAATGAAAATCAGCATGTGATGATACTTCAAGATAAGGTTCCTAGTTAAAGTGGCACAAAGCATTGAGAAAGTCACAAGGATAGATGTACTAGAGTTTTACCAAATCACAAGATGTATTTGTGGGCAGCCCAAATGCCACACTCTGGTAGGAGAAAAGGCTATCATTATGAGCACACAGACACAGTTCTCGTGCTTATGTTTCTTGAAATTATGAGAGAACAACAATTTGATGGCATTAAATGTGTGCACGCTCATATCTATCTGTAATTTTAAATTTTGAAAATATCTGGAGTAAAAATGAACAAGGAAAAATAATTCTGACTTGAGGGTTTGGCAGAGTTTTCTAGAGGAGTCCTACACCTGACCAGAGCTGTTGAGATTTCTAGGAAGACTGATGTACATGTGAGGTCTAAGTTAAGAGGCATCTAGTTTCCTTCCTCCAACTAGAATAGCACTGCTGCAGGAGCATGTGAGGGAACAGGTAAATAACACAGCCCAGAAGACGGCAGGGGCCTGGCTGTGCAGTGTCTGGGAACTGTGGTGGGAAATGACCCATGCAAACCGTAGCTGTGTGACAGCAATCGCCTTAACTGTGACTGCAGAGTTAGGCGTCATGATGTCCTCTGCATTGCAAAACTTCTTAATTCAAGTCATGTCTAACAGGTTTAGTATTGAGAATCATGGTTCAAAACCAGGGTCTATCACAGGTTACTGGAAGAAACCATCTCTCAAAGCCGGTGGCCTGAGTCATCTTGAAGTGTAGGTGCCAAACCTGTTGTCATGAATAAATCTGGAGAGCCGAGCCCAAGGAAACAGCAGCTACATGTATGATGCACTCGTAACACTGGCTGCATTGCACACAGGGTCTCATTTAATCGTCATGTGATTTCCCCATTTTAGAGAGAACACTGAGCCACAAGGCAATAGTGAATTCCCAAAGACAGATGAAAAGAAGAGGCAGAGTTCAAGTTTGGTTCTTCAAAGTTTGTGAAATTTCTACTAGCATGTACACCTTTTTAAACAGTCACAGCTCAATGAACGTGCACAATACTGGGCCCCCTGAAATAAAAGTCTTTCAGTGGCTAGTAGCCTTCACTCCTTTCATTAATTTAGTTGTCCTTTCTTCATAAATTCAGACACTTAAACATTCACTTAACAAACATGAAGTGAAAGTTTAGTAAAAGACTGTGACATTATGGGCGAACAAAAATGGAGAGGTGGAGAAAGGCAAGACATACGAAAATGTAAGATTTGGGGTCTGCCATTAAGGAGCTTGCATGAGAAAGGTTATGTGCACACACTAAAAGCTAATCAAACACGTGTCAGGTCACTGGAGCAGTTCAGGGTAAGGTAAGAGTAATTCCTGTCATGCCCTGCAAATGCAAGTGGGATGTAGATGAGTCGCCATGAGCAAAGGCTATATTCCCTAAAAAACTTCCACCATGTGGAGAGATGTTTGCTAAAACGCCTTTATTAACCAAACTGGACAAATGCAAAGCATGTGATTTTGAACAGGGGTCTACGCTGAGTTCAAGAATGTTAAGGATTGAGTGAAATGCAGTTAATTCCTAGAGTCTGCGGATGGTTCCTTCTTCCTATCTCTTTTTTTGTTTCCCTAAAGTAAATCTAATGATGAGACATTGAGATAAGGTAACTTTCTAATCCTTTATTTTTTCAGTGCTAGTGTTCATATCAAATCCTCTACCACTAAGCAACAACCCCAGTGTGCATTTTTGTTTTGTTTTAAGTACACCGGCCAGAGGAAGTACTGAGTTGTCCAGCTTGATAAGACGTCATAGGGGAAAAGGAAGAGGAAATGGAGATCAAACCAAATAAAGAGGCCTCAAATATCAGAGTTCAGAGTTCAGATTTTCAATACTAGATAACAGAGAATCTTAAGTCTTGTGCTATGTATGTGTTTCTATAAATGGCTTCTTAAGAAAACACTCTTGAAATGAGAGTATTTTTCCAATTATAGAAATAAATTTTATGAATTGAAGATATTTATGCTCTTTGTTTTATTTCTAGCCTCTTTCAAGAGCCAATATATGTTCAGTCTATTGTTTCTCCAGATTATTATTTTAGCACTACTGTTAGGGGAGTTAATCTCAAAATTAATCCCAAGAGCCAACAAAATTTCTGTCCAACATTTGACATGTTCTAACAAAAATTTACATATTCTATCTGTCCCTCTGACCAGAATTTATTTCCTTCTCAGTTTCACACAGGAAATCTCTCCCGGTGTTTCCTTTGATATGTAAGGTCAAAGAGTTATTCTTCCTTTTTTAAAAAGGAGCTTGCTCAACATGAGCTTTTGATATTTCCCTGTAGCCCAGCCATCTTCCAAGTCAGATTTGAATAATATCTTGACCCGTAACCTTTGTTTCAAAATTGATTTTGGCAGGAAATCAAAGGTAGGGAGTATCTATATTAAATATTGATTTTTAAAAAGTTTTTTTTTTTGTCTTATCCTTTCTCCTTTTCTCTGAGAAGCTGAAAGAAGATTTTAATGAAAGAGTTAATAGCCTTTAAAAGTGTGTCCTAGTATTTCCCTTTTCATTCACCCTTTCATTAGTTTTCTCTCTGGATTTTGATTTAGTTTTGATTGCATTTCATTTCATTTCAAAAGTGTTAGTGTGACAGGGCATGTGACACAATCCTGTAATCCCAGAACTCTGAGAGACCAAGGCATTAGGATACAAATTAGAGCACAGCCTGATTTAGAGAGAGCCTGTCTAAACAACAACAACAAAATCAGCTGGGAATGAATCTCTTTGAGAAGGTCCTAGTTTCAATCCTCAGTATTTACACACATACACACACACTCACACACACACACACAAACACACACAGAGTACAAGTGTGTCTTAAAAGCATTTTAATAAAATATATTGACTTACAATATTATCTTTGAGACATTCTATCAAACAGGAGCCCAATATAAAATAAAATGTGAATGGAAGACATAAATCTAGAAAGTATATTATTTTACCTTATTTCAATTTTTTTTTTTTTTTTTTTTGTCTTTTTCCTTTTTATCGGTACCGGGAATCGAACTCACGACTGCCTGCTTGCAAGGCAGGCGTTTATGCCGCTCAGCTAAATCCCCAGCCCCATCAATTTTTAAGAATATATTTCAACTGCACAGTGTCTCTTGATGTTACTAGTAATACCTGTCTTTTATTCAGTGCTGTCCTCTGCCAGGTACTGCTTTACAGAAAGTGTAATAAAAACCCCTATGACCTCAATGTGACTAAATGATGTCCCCCTCCAGATTTATATATTGAAGACTTAACCACAAGTGAGACAGGATTTGGAGATTCATTTGGTAATTAACATTAAATGAAGTCATAATTGTGGGTTTCTAAACCAATAAAATTGGTGGTCTTAAAAGAAGTAGAAACTGTGGTTTCCTAGTATATATGCAGAAGAAAGTCTTTGTGAGGATGAATGGAACAGGTGAGTAAATAGGCCAGTAAGAGCCCTCCAGTAAGAGCCCTCACCAGAGCTGCACAGTGCCACCATCCTGATCTTGGACTCCCTCCAGAACTAAGACAAAGATCAGGGTCTCTTGTTTAAGCCATGTAGACCATGGTACTTCATAGTGTATCCCATGTTGACTGATATGGTGACTATATCCATTTAAAATTAAGAATCAAACTACGTAGTTAATGGTAGAATGGCATTTAAGCCCCTGCTTGTCTGACCTCAAAACTGTGCCCTTAGGATTCTTCTCTGAATTTTGATCCAGAAAATAATGCATAGCCTTTCAAAAGATCCAAACACCTTTGGCTTCTTTTATGTATTTTTATTTTTGAAATTTAGTAGATCAACAAAAAGTCAGTGAGTTTTTCTTATTTTTCATCCTTATTATCTGATATTGTTTGTTCCAGCAGGATGTTATCATCTGAGCTCTCTGAATTTCAGGTTAATGTTGAAAAATATAGCCAATCATTCTGAAATTGCAATGTTGAAAAATCAGGTATTTACTATTGCTGTATTTGCATTTTGTAAAGCATATTAAATACTAAATATCCAGTGTTGTACCTGTAACCAATTGGCAGTGTCCCATTTAACCATATTAAAATTAACAACTATTAATTAGATTAAAAATTCAGTGAGAATGACAGCTGCTAGTGCCTTTTACAGTTACTGTGTTTCTCTAAAATCCATATGGCAAAAATCACATATTGTTTCTTCCCTCATGGAATTAAGCACTTAAGATAAAATGATTTGATTTGATGTGTGTTAATTTGTTTTCTTTTTTTTCTTTCAATTTGTTTCTAAAAGTGAATCTTTTTTTTCCCCATACACAGGTTTTCACCAGCCATATTTTTATATCTGATTAGCATCGTTCCATCATTATGGCTCCTTGAAATGCATCGTAAGACCCAGGTACTAACCTTTAGCAAACAAAAAATTGGAATACTCAGCCATCAGATTCACAGTATGATTTGACTTATTTCAGAAATGCACTTTTCTAAGGGGCTGGAGTTATGAAGACCTGAATAAATAAGCGGCACTGGAAAGAAGTGACTCTAATATCTGTCCAAAAATTCCATTTGTTTCAGAATTAACACAGTTAATTAACATGTTGTTCTAGTAATTTTGTCCCTAAGACTCTCTCCTTCACTTACAATATATTAATGTTTTCTTGTGACAATTTGATTGTAGCCCTGGCAGCTTCAATGCACTCCTCTATTGTGCTAAGAATTAGCAGACCCTAATAATTTGAAATCCTGCAAAGTGACATATTTAGAAACAACAATTTAACAAAAAGGTATTTCTTGTGTGCTATATAAATTTTTTCAAATTTGAAGTGACTATTTAAAATACAAGTCACACAGATTGTAGCAGCTTCATTCTGGGGGTTTATGGGTTATCTTAGTTAATGAACAATGTCATTACAGAGCCCTGAAATTAAAGTCAAAGGAGAGAAGTTTGTATGTATTCAACTACACTGACCTAGAAAATAAACTGTGGCTTCCAATGAGAGTCTGTAATTTTTATGTAGATACTTTAGTTGAGCTTCTTTCTACACAGACATTGCTACTTAGCCAGCTCTAGCCTGAGTTCAATCATTTCTGGCTGTGCTTCCTCTTGAATAACTATAAAGGCCATTCAGCAAAGTTATCACATTCCATCTTGGGTTTTTTTTTGTTTTTTGTTTTTTGGTTTTTTTTTTTTTTTTTTTTTTTTTTTTTTTTGTCTTTTTGTCTTTTTTGTTTTTATCAGTACCAGGGATCGAACTCATGACTGCCTGCTTTCAAGGCAGGTGCTTATGCCGCTGAGCTAAATCCCCAGTCCCCGCATCTTGGGTTTTAAGGTTGAGATTACAGCACAGTATTACAGATGACTGTGGTTATTATATAATATTTCTTACCTTCATTGATAAAATATTTGGACAAAAGCTGTGAAAATTTGACCCCGAGCAAAATTTTTTTTTTTGCTATATTTAGCCATTTTATAGCAAACATAAACCTTCAACTTACAACCTCTTATGGTTAATGCTTGCCCCCAACCATAGGTACAAAAGAAAAATTATTTTCTCTTTAAGTATCCTTCTGAAAAACGTTAAAGTCATAGGCTATTTCTACATCTGGACCAAAAAGATTTTTGTTAACTGTAGATTGTTTTGTTTAAATTAGCATGACCTTTTTAAAAAGTAGTATGAGGAATTAAGGGTCTCTTTCTACCTTCTCATTCTTACTGTTAGGGGGATATGAAAATAAGCTCTGGTGATCTGAATCTAATATTTTTCCTGTACATATGCAAGTCTATGACATGGCCATCATCCACAATAACAACTCACTTCCCCACATGCTTTAATAATATGTCTGCATTGTGAAGTTAATTGATATACAGGTCAAATCCCATTACAACAAATCGCATGCAACCAAGAGCTCTCTTTTTAATAAAAAGAGATTTTTGAGCCCCAGGCAGTACCTCTCTAATTTTCATACTACAAAAGAAATTGAACCTTTAGTAGTAATGGATTTGACACTGAGAATTAAAATGAATGCCCAGAGATTGAAATGGGCAGGGTAAGCAGAGATAAAAGTAGGGAAAGTGAGAGAAACAAAAGATGTTGGGATTACACTTATAAAAATAAGAAATGATGGAATAAGGTAAATTAGAGCAACTCCCTTGGTCCACTCAGGAATTTTGGTTGTGATAGTTGATTTTCATTTTATAGAAACCTGTGTTTCTATTTTCAGATACATTTTCTCATTTGTAGACATCATGCATTGTAATTACAGTACATACATGTTAGTATGATAGAAACTTCATAATATATATTATGATAATGTATGATAATATATATGATACACATTTTACACTTATATAATAATACAATATATAATTTATATATATTAATGTTTTAGAGGAATTTGTATAATTTGAGTTTTTCATAATGAAAAAGCATGGCATCCTTTTTTCCATTTATTTACCATCCTAAATGTTCTAAGCTATGACTTGACATTAGGAAAACATCCTGACCTATTTCATGAAGACATTGCTCTTAGATGACCAACTGGGTGCCTTGACTTCTGAATCTTGTAGAATGTGTGGGTCAAAATGGTTATGATGACTGTGACCCTGAGCACTGGAGAGGTCTGTTTATGAAATGGCATAATATGGTCTTGATAGTGTCTCAGTCCGTTTGATCCAAAGACATATTTTTGAAGCTACTGAAATTTTTAAAAATATATCCCATGAAAAGTCTGCATATTGCTGCTCAAATCATCTTCATAAAATTGCCTACACACTGATGAATATAAACAACATAAGCAAAAAACAATTATAAGTCAAATTAGGTTTAAGGAGTAAATCACCTGCTCATTACAATCTAATATAGTTGTCACATAAAGGAAAGTTTGTCAATCTGTAACATAATAACAGTGAGGAGAAATTTGGATAAATCACACTATAAAATGGGCTGCAAAATTATTTGCTCCCAAATTAGCTTATATTGCACTAAAATGATTTTTTTTCCTAAATAATAAAATGCTTATGGATTTTTTAGTAATAAGGATGTAAAAAATACATCTGATTTCAAGCCTTGGGAAAAAGTGATAAAAATGTGCTACCTCTCGACCATTAAATTCTTAGCTAATCATAAAACTATTCAGCAATGGGCATTTGTAATTCAGTTCAAAAATACTTTTTAATCTTCAATTTTTTTCTTGGAGGCTTAGCTGCACGCACACATAAATACATACACACACAGCAAGTATACAAACAGCTGTATTTTTGCTTCTAGAAATGTGGCACATAGCTATTTTTCTTATTCTTGTCATTTCACTCATAACCTAGTTATTTGGATAGAAAGTAGACAAAAATAGTTTCTTGTCAGACTTTTTAATCTATTGTTTTCAAGTAGTGTGCAGAATGATCAGTGAAGTACCCAGAATAATTTATATATATATATATATATATATATATACATATATATATATATATACATATATATATTAATATACATATATATATATTACCTTTTAATAGTTTCTTCCTAAAAACAAATGTGTGATTGTGGCTGTGAGGTGGTAATGGTTGTGGTATATATGTGTATGTGTTACAGTACTGCAGATGTTTTAAAACTTCAACCTTTTAAAAACTCAGTTTGTAAAATATGACTACAGCTATATTTTCAAGTGGCTATGTCTTTTCTTATATTCTTTTCCTTCTTCTACTCTACATTAGGTTCCCAGTATCTGGTTGGAAAATAATAATGTAGAATTCATTTTAAGGAAGTTATATGCACAATGAAGAAACAGGGAACCAAATATTAAGGCAATTGTTAAAATTTTTGTAAGCTGACTTCTGAACTGACTTTTAAACTTATATAATACCAAACATGCCTATTTTTTGCTTATTATAATTTTGACAGGCAAAAGGCAAAGAAATTGGATTATTTACTGAAATAGAATGGTATTTAGACAATGAGGCTGCAAAGGCCAAGATCATTAATGTTTTATTGTTGTCACTGGGTGTTTCTTTTTTTTAATCACAGTAGGGGCTTTTTTTAGTTTTTGGGGGGGTTTGTTTGTTTGTTTGTGACTCGTTGCTAGGACAACACCCAAAATGAAGAAAAGAGGGGTTTATTTCTTACAGTTTTTCAGAGGTTTCAGTCCATACTCAGTTGTCTCCAAGCGTCAGAGTGGCATGGAGGGCTGCCATTCATGGCCACTGGCAAACAGCAAGACAGGAACCAGAAGGAGCAAGAGACACACCTTCTTCCCGCCCTTACATCATATCCTGGCTCCACCCACAGGCGGGTGTAGCACTCGCACCACCAATCCGAGCGCTACACAATCAGCCAATCACAAACGCATAATTGTTTGAGGTTTGGGGGCCACTGAAATAAACCATGGCAAAGGGGGAACATTTGTTGTCAATCCATAAATTCTATAGTTTTCTATAATGACTGAGAGCATCTACATCCTCACTGACCTATACAGTGAGTCCTGAATAGTTGACAGTCTTCTCACCTCAACTTAAAAGTAGTTTTTTTTGTTGTTTTGTTTTGTTTTGTTTTTTTAATCTCCAGTCTATATTCTGATCCTGGTAAATGCGTTGTGTACAAATTTCACATATTTGTTTATAATCTATTGAATACATTGAAGCCTTATTTTAGTAATTTTTTGTCATACTTCCCCAATTCTTAGGATTGCAGTATTCAGTCTGAAAGAATATCACAGAACACCAGCAGAAAAGATGATTTCAAACAACCATTGTTGTTCAATGAAGAAAGCAAAGGCGTGGAGGATATCATTGAGACGGTGAGAGCTAATCCCCAATATTTGTAAAAAGATATAAAAAGTTGGAATTTTGATGAAGAAAACATGCCTTATATTTCTCAGCTTATTCTTCCCTGAAGAAATTTTTCAATTTAATTATTTGGTTCAGAAATTCATACAACAGTCATTTGCTTGTATCTTAGTAAGCATGTATTACTTGCACGATAAGTATATACAGACAGTCCTTGTGTAATGATCAAGTTCTGGTCTGGCAACTAGGTCATTAAATTAATTGGATGCTAAATGAGGAATTGTATATGGTTTTTACATTGCAATATTCAGAACAAATGGTCACAGGAAACTCCAACTTGATGACTTTGCTTTTATTTGCATAACTCTTACATGCAGTACTGTAATGTATAATGAACATAAAATTCTGGTTCTCTACAATACAATACAATCAGAAAAAAAATCACAGGACTGTATAAACAAAGTATCCTGTACAAAAGGGACATTGAAGACCTAACACAAAAAGACTGAGATGTACAAAATCAAAGAACAGATTGTAAATTCTAGTGGTCCATCATAAGTTCAAACAATCATTAAACAAGTAGGTCATTAATGAGGAATATCTGTATGTATGTATGTATGTATGTATGAAATATTTTAGTAAGTATTTGTAACCTACAGCATTAAAGAATACAATTCAGACAATATTTACATGAAGCACATAAGCTAAGATATATAGTACTTCAATATTTTAATTATATACTCAAAAATTTATGATTTCTAAATATATAAATTATATACATGGATAAGCAACTGTGAACAATAGAATAATATTCAATACTAAAAATAAATGAGCTATACAATGTAGTGTTGCTCAGCTATAAAGATGAATAAACTTGAGGCTTTTGTAGGTAAATGGATTCAACTTGAGATCATACTCATAAGTAAAACAAATTGGACTCTCATGTGTAAATACCATAACTGTTTCCCTAGTGTAAAAACTGAAAGAGTAAATATGATCCAAAATGTACAATAGATATTGTGAAAGGGAAAGAAACTACTCAAAAGTAAAGAACAACTGGGATAGTAAAAAAGAGAATAGAGAGAAAAGATTATATATATATATATATATATATATATATATATATATGTATATGTATATGTATATAACTATCCTATTAGAGGTTGTATAACTACGCTGCTAATCTTTGTTAGTTCATCAAAAAGAACAGTTTGTGTTTTCATGATCCAATTGTTTGATCATTTTTATGCCTATATCTTGTAATCTGAACAACTACTTTGAAGATAATGACATGCAATAATTAGCCAGTGTCAATATATTAATAATATATTAATAAAAGAGATTAATATATTACTATTATTTTGTTTTGAAATTCTTTATCATTGTTTTTACTCTTTCCTGTTTAAAAAAAAATCTGTGGAAAGATACGAAGAATTTTAATGTATATTTCCAAGTAAAGGAGTCCAGTTTGAGCGGGTCATGGTGGGGCACATCCCAGCACATGGACGCTAGGGCAGAGTGGAGGCAAGTTGGAGGCTGGCCTGGCCACATCGTGAGTTCAAAACCCCATCAGAGCTTCAGCCAAGTTCTCAAAAAAAAAAAAAAAAAAAAATCCTAGCCTGAAATGAAGGAAGATAAAGACTTCATATATAGTTTTAGGTTCACAGATAAACTGAGAAGACAGAGATTTCTTCTATGCCCCATGTCCTCACATAGGCACAGCCTTGCTAACCATGAGCATTTTGCATCAGAATGGTTAAGTGGTTAAAAAAATGATGAACTTACGTTGCAAGTGATTATCATTAAAAGTCTGTGATTACATTAAGAATAATTCTTGGTACTGTACATTTTTAGGTTTTGACTACCATATAGTAACATGAACACACCATGTTATACCATGTAGAGCATTTTCACTGTCATTAAGATTTAAAAATATTTTGAATGTGCTCACACTTTATTTCTCCTCTTTTTCCCAGCCATCAGCAATCACTGATCTGTTTTCTGTCTCTTTAGTTTTACCTTTTGCATATATCACACTGGTGGAATTCTCTGGTGTAGCTTTTTCATGTGGATTGTTTTGCTTAGCAATATACTACACAGAAAGTTCCTCTATGTCTTCTTAGAGCTTGATAACTCATTTATTTTTAGTGTTGAATAACATTCCATTGTCCACTATTTGTTATCCTGTTACCTATTAAATAGCATCTTGGTTTTCCCATGTTTTTAAATTATGAATAAAGCTGCTATAAACTCCTATGGGCATTTTTTTAATGTGAACAGGTATTTTCAATGCTGAGTAAACACCAAGCAGCGTGATCCCTGCATTGTATGGCTAGGATGGGGTTAGCTTTGTAAGAAACTGACAGCTGTCTTCCAAATTGGTTATATCACTTCCCATTCCTATCACTATGAACAAGATTTCCTTGTGCTTCACGTCCTCCCAGCATTCAGTGCGGTCAGTGCTCTGGGTTTCGGTCATCTAATATGTGTGTGTGGGTAACATTTCACTACTATTTTAACTTACATTTCCCTGATTATCTTTTATATGGAGCATCTTTTTCTTATCTTTATCTGTTATTTTTATATCTTCTTTCATGAGATACCTATTAGGGTCTTGTCTCCCTTATTGGATTTGTCTTTTGCATATTTTTCCCAGTTGGTGTTTGTCTTTTTGTTCTCTTGTCATTGCCTTTTGCAAAGCAGAAAAGTTTAACTGTAATGAAGTCTAGTTTATTATTATTTTCCATGGATCACCCCTCTGGTGTTTTATCTAAAAAGACATAGGCATACACACTGTCATGTTCATTTTCTCCTATATTGTCTTCTAAGAGCTTATAGTTTTGTATCTTTACTTTACTTCCATGGTCTATTTTGATTTACTTTTTGTGAGGAGTAGACGCTCTAGGCCTAGATTCATTTTTTTTTTTCTTTTTGCCTGTGGTTGTCCAGTTGTGTCAACATCATTTGGTGAAAATAGTATCTTTTTTGCGTTGTATTCTTTACTAATTTTTAAAAATTCAACTGTAGGTTTATGTGGGTCTATTTCTGGCTGTCAACTCTGTTTTATGGGTGTATTTGTCTATTCTTTCACTATCTTGTTTAATCTAGTTTATAGAAATCTTCAAGTCAGGTAGTGTCAGGTGGCTTTTTCTTCTTTAATATTGTATGACTATTCTAACCTTTTGCATTCCATATAAACTTCAGAAACTCTTTGTCAATATCCACAAAAGTCCTGCTGGGACTTTGAGTGAGATTGTATCAAATTTTTGGATTTTTTAAAAAGAAGTAACATCTTAACAATATTGAGTTTTGTTGTCCATGAACATGTAATATGTTACTATTTAATTCTTTTAATTCATTCTTCAAAATTTTGTATTTTTCTGCATATCTAAGTTTTCCTTCATTTTTGAGAGCTCAAATATAACTAATACTGCATTTTTAATTTCAAATTCTACTTCCTCACTAATATGTAGGAAAAAGATTGACTTCTGTGTATCAACATCTATCCTACAAACGTGCTTATTATTTCCAGGTTTGTTAGTCAGTTCTTTAGGATTTTCTACATGGACAATTATATTATTAGTGAGCAAAGACAGCTTCACATCTTCCTTCCCCAATATGTATCTTTTTATTAATTTATTTTGTCTTATTAAGCTAGCTAAAAATTCCACTTTCTATATTTTTAAGTATTAATTAATAAAATGAAAAAAGTTTTAGTCAAAAATAGAATAGCTTCTTTTTTCCTTTTAGGTCTGATATTTGTTGAGATGCCCATAACTTGTTTTAAAATGTTATAAAGGAGAGATTGCAGGCAAGGCCTGTATCACTGAAACATGTTCTCAGAGTTGGACAGGCTATTGATTCCCTGAAGTAGAATAGACTGAATTTTGGGGTTTTTTTTTTCCAGCTTCTAACCACAATTTATTTTTGTAACTTAATTATGTTTCTTTATATTTCATCTGACAATTAAAATAGTAATGTTTATCTTATTAATGTACTTTATGAATTAAATAAGATATGTATGAAGTTTCATATAAAGAACTGGGAGTGAAAGATCTCCGTGAGGGTTTGCACGCTTTTATCCTTTTCTTCCTGTAGTGGTGCATTTGTTTTCAGCAAATCATCAAGAGGAGTAAACAGATTTGGCACAAATATAATTAAGTCACTTGAAAAAAATGAATTGGAGTCATTATCCCAGCCCCTTGAAATATATGACCTTGTTGTCTAAAAGATTATAGCCTGTTGGGTCTGTAACAGTTTTGAAATTTATTTAAAAGGTAAATGGATAAGAGATATCATCCAGAGTATATTAGTGGGATGAAAAATTTTCTTATGGTCCAAGAGTGAAGGCAGAGAAAGGTTTGCTTTTGAGCCTATGGATTATTGGGTATGTTACATATTCAAAATAAAAATAATAATTGTAGTTATCATCATTTTTCTTTATATAAATGGTATCCATTATTACATTTCCTCATGGTTAGATATGACAGAATTTTAAAGCAATAATAAACAAAAGGAAAGATTGTATCATGCTAAAAATATTTCCAATTTAGTAATTTCAGATTTAAAATCCATAGAGCACAAATACAAGATTGTTTTTTGTATTTTTACAGAGTTTATAAAAATTTTTGTGAGTTATACATTATTATAGCATACAATAAAATAAGTAATAACTCTTTAAAAACTATAAAACTGACTTTTTAAAGTATCAGTCTCACTGTAAGTTTTAAATTACTTGGTGGTTGTTAAGAATCATATTTTTAAAAAATTTTTAGAGTGTTCAGCTGAAAGAAGTGTTACTTTTGTTAACAATTGCAGAATAATTCCTGACAACACTGAAAAGCAAACTCTTGCTTGAAGACCATGATGAAGAAGGCAGTTTTCTCTGGCAGCTCATACTGCTTTTCTCTCTGTCACATCTCTGTTAAACAGGCTAAAGTCTTTGTAAATAACCTGTCTACGGTGTGTGAGAAGTACTGGACCCTGGGCCTCCATCAGACATTCCTGCTAATGCTCATCATTGGAAGATGGCTTCTCCCCATTGGAGGCACCATCACTCGAGACCAGCTCTCCGAACTCCTTCTCATGTTCGTGGGAACCGCTGCTGACATACTGGAATTTACCAGCGAGACTTTGGACTTAGAAAATGTGAGGTGAGCCCTGCAATGAAATGACCTTCTTTTCAAGGTCAGGACCACACATCTGTCTCTTTATTCTGTTAGTTATATTTTGCATGAATAAACACTTTAGGGTAGCATATGCTTATTGTTAGGATTGTAGCATTTACTGCTATTTAGACACATACTGGGAAATAGCACAGGTTTCATAATGAAAAGTACACAAATGGGGTTTTTGGTAGAGAAGGAGACACATAATACGCCTGTGAGTGAGAACAGAAAAGCTATGTGTATTTGCATGACTGACTACAGATCGGGTGGGCTTGCGATTATCTAGAAATCTGCAGTGAGTTTCTCACCTATCATGCCTTTCATAGTCTCGCAAGCAGAGACAATTGTGAAACCTTCTAAAGCACAGAATAGCCACAATTCCAAGAGATGTGGAGAAATCTCTCTTTTCTGCAGTTGGAGAATTTACATTCCCTGGTGTGAATACAGAATGGGGCAGATGAAGTTTTATTTTCTTAAAATTTATTTTTAGTCAGTTTTGTTCAAAGTGCCCAAAGGCTTTCTGATGTAGATGCTTATAAATTAAAATTTATTGAGTTGGTACTTTTATTTTTGCCACAAGCAAATAAATTCAGAATCCATGATCACATCTGGTTATGGAACTACTTTCGTCCCATTAGGGATTTAAGTCTTAGTGTCTGAATGTACTTTAAGCTTGAGTTGTTTTGCACTATGCTATAAAAATAAATTGGAATGGGGCTGGCTTTTAATGCTACAGTTTACTTTGTACTGTCTTTTTCAAGCAATGTGACATAAAGCTGAGCAAAATACATTAACTTATTGAGTAAACTTAATATCTCAATTATAGTATGAATTATATTTATAACTATATGTTATCTTAGCATGATCATTTCTTGTTTCATTCATACTAATTTTTCTTTTAGCTATTTAAGGTGACTTTAAAAAAAAAAAGAATCACATGTAATCGATTCATTGCCTTCAAAGTATTATTAGTTTTGTAATTTTAATTCCTTACAGTTGATCAGTGCTTTATATCATACTATGAGTACTTTTACGATAATTATAAACTCTATTCAATGACAAGAAAGTTGTGAAAAATTGTGATAGAGCACATAAAAATAATGAATATTTATAATATCATAAAGTAACAATATAATAGCAAACTAACCTCTCCAGAAATAAATACATACATCTCAGAAGATGGGGAAAACATAGGAAAGAAAAAAAAAGTAGTAAATAGAGTTAAGTTTTATGAAGCTGGTCATAAAAATGTGAGTTATGCCAAATTTAGATATATTAATGAATTCTTTCTTTATCTGTCCCATCCAGAAATAACACCAGAGGAAATTTTATAGATCTGTATTTGCCAATAAATGTTGATTATTAAATACTTTTAATTACATACCCAAATAACAATAACAACAAAGTACACAACCTTGAAAATCATGAGGTTTTTTTTTTCATTTATCAACTATGAATTTGTTTTCTAATCTGTGCCAGCACTGTGCTAGGCACAGTTTGAGGAACAAATGGTGAGCAAACAAAAAGAAAAAAATGCACAGTTCTGTCTAAAAAAATGATCATTTCAATTCATTAAGAAGTTAGAGAGCACAGTGTTTCAAGACATTGTAAAACCCATTTCTTCTTTCAGCTACAAATTAGTCTGACTGCTTCATGAAAGCATATTGTTAAAATTTTAGATGAGTTATATTCCAAGCAAGATTATATATAAAGCACAGTTGGCCTTATATATTTCAAATTCCTGTTCATGGATAGTAAGCAATACAGTAATAATTCTCATGTACAGAACATATACAAACTTTTGTCATTTTTCCGTAAGCAATACTCTGAAGTTCATTTTCTCTCTTTTTATAATTTACAAAGGTTTCAAAATCCGTGATCTTGCAATTTTTTTCTTAATAGCATTAAGAACAAAAATTCAAGTATTGTAGTTCTATAGTTGGTGAATTACTAAATTATTAATTATATTGACATTTGGTAAATTATGGATTTGTGTCACTATAAATGCCACAAGATTTTGAATATTCCCACCACTACAAAAAGATTTCTTATGATTATCTGCAGTCAGTTTTGATTTCTGCCACCTACCTTAGGCGGCCAGTGATATATTTTCTGTCTGTATAGATTTTTTGTTTTTAGACTGACTGGATTTTCCACATGATCTTGGGGTTCCCCATGCTGTTACATGTTTTATTCTTTTTATTGTTAAATACTATTTCACTGAATGCATGTTTAAACTATACATGTATATGTGTATTAATTATAATTTTTGTTATAAAAATGATATAAGGAGGATTTACTTATAGTTTTGGGGTGGATATGTTTTCATTTTTTCTTACATAAATACCTAAGAGTATAATGGCTAGTTTTAAGTTAAGTACACATTAAACTTTTTGAGAAACAGTCATCAAACTATTTCTAAAATAGGTTTGCCACTTTGTGTTCCCAGCCCACAATGTATGACAGTTCCAGTTCCCCCATGAACTTACTGTATGGTACTACTAATTTGTTCTATCTCCTAAGCTTTTTCTACACATAAGATGATGTGATTTGTGAATAAAGACATTATTCATTCTCATCTACATGGCTTTAGTTTTTTTTTTCCTTAAGTTATTGTATTGGCTAGACTTTTCTATGTTGAACAGAAGTAGAAAGAATAAATATTTCAATCTCAAGGAATATGCAGTTTCTTTATTCAATACGATATTAGCTATACATACTTTTATCAACTTGAGGCAATTTCCACATTTGAGGAGTATTTTTCCTAATGTGTTGAATTTTATTAAATTTTAATGTTTTTATTTTATTTATTTATTTTTTGGTACTAGGGATCCAACTCGCAACCTCACACTTGCCAGGCACTTGCCATCAAGCTAATTCCCCAGCCCTTAAATTTTAATGCTTTTATTGGATGATTTTATATCAATTGACTTTTATTCTATAAGAATACATTAACTAATTTTCAGATATTAAATCAATCTTGATATCTTGAAGTAAACTGCACTTTACTATGATATAGAATTTTTTAATATTTTTTTGGATTCAATTTGCTCGCATTTTGTTTGTTTTTATCTATGGGCATTAGATGTACTTATCTGTAGTGTTTTTTTCTAATTTTTTTTCTTGGTTATGTATCAGCATAACACTGACTTTGTTGAATATCTCAGGAAGCATCCATATTTTTTTCTTATTTTCTAATAATTTTACTCAGCATTAGTGTTATTTCTTCTTTAAATATTTTATAGAATTCACCTAGAGAGCCATCTAGACAAGGGTTTTCTTTATATAAAGTTGTATTTTTTAAAGTTACCAATTCAGGGCCAGGAAATTAGCTCAGTGGCATAAGCGGCTGCCTGGCAAGCATTGATTCCCAGTACCAAATAAATAAAGTTACCAATTCAATATTATTATTCCTTTTAGGTGTATTTAGATATTCTATTTTCTCTTTATTAGTTTTGGATGTATTTTTGCTTCTAGGAGTTTTTCCATTTATCTGAATGGCCTAAACTTTGACATATGATTGTTAAAGATACTTACATAGGAATTTATTTCTGTAGAGTCAGGTGTTACGCCCTATTTTCATTCTTAGATTTGAAAATTTATGCATTTTATGATGTTTTTTGAGGGGATGGAAATGTTTATTTTTTATTAGCTTTATTGATTTTGTTGATCTTAACAAACTACAGGTTTTTCACTTTGCTAATCTTTCTCTTCAATTCTTTTTTTCCATTTCTGCTCTGTATAATATTTCCCTTATATTTGCATTGGACTAATTGACCCGCAAGTTTCTTCATATACAATATTAGGTTATTGACCTGACGCTTTCCTACTTTGTTTAATATAAAGAACCAAAGCAATGAATTTCCTTCTAATACTGCTTCCCTAGAATTCTGTAAATTTTGATATGCAACCCTGTGTTTAATGCAATTCAAAATATTTTAAAATTTTACCTTTGATTTTTCTTTGGACTAATTAAGTATTTGTCAGTTTCTTAACTTCTATATATATAGAGGTTTCTCAAATTACTTCTTGTAGATTTTTTCAATATAAAACTCTATTATAGTCTGAGAATATTATTTAAATTAGTTCAATATTTTTAAAGTTAATCAAGTCTTGATTCATGGTCTAGAACATGGCCTACTCTAGAACATGGCTAGAACATGGCTTATTCCTGAATAAGCTCTACTTGACTCATGATCTAGAATATTATCTAGAATATAGCCTACTCTGCTTCCTGCTGGTCTAGAATATGGCCTATTCTACATGTTCTATGTATGCTGGAGAAGAATGTGCACGCCTCTTCACACCTTCTCATAGGTTAATACTAACTTTATTCCGGTAAAACACGCCAACATCATTCCATTTGATCATAGTCTCATTCTCAGTGCTCAGAGCTCCAATTCATTCCCTTCCTGTTTTGCTCTTAGGATTTTGTTATAATGGGTATGTTGTGTCTTTGTATATTATAAAGCAAACAGTATCACTTCATAATTATTATTCTTTGCCATCTTTTGGGGTGATTTATATATTTATTTTGAGACAAGCTCTTTCTATATGATTCAGGCTGGTCTTGAACTTATGGTGATCATCCCGTCTCAGCCTCCCAAGTGCTAGCATTACAAGTGTACACACTGTTTGCTAGGTTTTCTTAAAAGAGAGTAAAAGAAGAATATGTGTATATAGCTATATTATATATTCATGTTATTTTTATTTACTTGCATATTTACCATTTTTGAGTGTAGTTCTTTTTTTATTTTAAAGGATTCATTTACCATGGCTTCTAAGCCAAATCTGCAAAAAATTGTTCTAGTCTTTATTTCTCTGAAAATATGCTTATTTTACTTTCATGTTTAAAGAACAGTTTTGGTCATACATAGAATTCTTGGTTGACAGGGTTTTTTTTTTTTTTTTCTTTCAATGCTAATATCTATAGCTACCATCCCACTGTCTTCTTATCTTTGTTATTTCTTATCAGATGTTAGCTG